GCAGCACACATTTAAATGTAAGTATGTAGTGGCGTAGAAAATGTGTTGGTAAATATGTTACTTTGTTGCATTTGTTATCACCAAACATGTGTTCCGTGAAAGTAAAGCAAGTTGATAATTAGATAGACATCGTGAGGTATATATTTTTGGTACAGTTTATGTTGAAACCGTTAGAGAGAGTGGCACACTTGTTAGCCTGTTCCATTCTTCTTTGTTTTCCGAAGCCGTGGCTTGGAAGTATACTTGCTTAGTTTCTGAAGGAAGTGACTACCAAGCCAGTATCCTCGCGATTGAGAAACGGCCACTGGGTCACATTGAGACGCCTCTGTGCCCTTCCTGCATCGTGCCAGGGATGCAGACATTAAAACCCCGCTCATGTATATTCCTGGGAGCCTGTGAATGTTCTCAAACATCATTACCCATGTGGGCACAAATGATGTGTGTCTACGCCTTTCTGCAATCATTAGGTGCAGCCTCATCTGCATGTTTTCCTTGAAAAGGTGCGAGCAATCCATTTTCTCCGCTGTCTCTAAGTGGGAGTGTTGATTATTGGCAGCATTTTGTATTTTTCAGAGGAATCGCAGATTACCTTCATGTTGTTCCAACAGCAAACTGAACTTCAAGAAACACTCACCCTTTGTGTAAATCACATACTCCTGAGCTTCTTTAAACCCCCGACCCACAAATCAGTCCTTGTTTCCATAGCAACCGGTATAGTGCCACCCTTTTTCAATGTGGTATCCAGTCGAACAATGCTATAAAGCTCACTAAGAGGGGAAATAAGCCCCCTACCAAACAAACTCAACACTTATGATATATAAACTACGACAACAGAGACAATATTTGAGTCTTGTCATGGTGGTGGTTGACTAAAAAAATATTTTAGAGAGTGTAAACATGTTGTCTCCATAGATATACTGGTTCTGCAGTGGCAAAAGAAGATGATAGGCACATATAAAATAAACAGATGGAAATTTAAATTGTACAAAAACATGAAAAAGCTGGCACCAGGAAACACATAAGCATGTTAACTTTTAGCTATGCTACTAGCATGCCTCTAGGGATGGTCTAATTAGTTCATGTTAGCATGCTAATGCGCTAAACTACAATGTATAACAGGGATAACGTTATAACCTGCTTTACATCAGCATGTTAGCTTTGCCTTTGTGAGCATGTTTGCATGCTGATGTTAGTATTTAGCTCAAAGCACAGCTGTGCCTGAGGATAGCTTCACAGAGCTGCTAGCGTGACTGCAGACTCTGATAGTGTGTAACAAGAGCACAGTGTATGCAGCACTAACCATGTTCCTTTAGTGTTAAATCATAATCTACACAAGAAGCGTATCTCTGTGAAAAGCCAACAGTATGCCAGAACCTCCATAACACAGCCAAATGACATTAGCTACCTTTCTCAATATGACACGGTGAGCTGTTATGTGAGCCAGTGATATACATTGGCTGCCTAAAAACCTCTTAATGTGAAAAATAGTTTAAAACGTTTAGTTTGTAATGAGCTGTAGCTCCTTAGAACCTGGTGCTGACTGAGAAATGGGGATATTACAATACTTGTAGAAAAAAGAAAATAGTGTTTCAGATGTCGAATATTTTGTAGGTTTTAGGAATGAATTATAACCAATCAATTATAACCAGCTTTGAAGAGGAGCCAAACAGAACTTGGATCACCAAATCATTAGAATGATTCACATTTACATAATCTGTCCGGTGTTTGAGCATCTATCTGTTACAGCGATATTCAGTTGTATTGCATCTAGGTTTACCACTGCAGTGATGGCAATAAACACATTCCCTTTGATTGAAGCATATCAACAGAACATTTTACTTTGTGTGAAGAAGCCAAACGATTAAAAAACATTTTTCTTACCATTATTGATATGTCACTTCTTCAATCAGATCTTTAGACTTAAAAATCCACATGAACACCAGATCACATCGACACTGACCTTTCTTTGAATAGGAACTGTCCTCTGACTGCGTTCTGTACAGAGAAGTGTGTGATATACCTCATATAGAAGTACAAAGTGAAGAGGAACTGTTGTGTTATGTCCCTGCCCCCGCAGGTTTCAGCTCAATCTATTACAGGGAACTCAGTGTCTGTTCTCTCTGTTTTCTGCTGCATGTATTAGCCTGACAACTTCAATGTCATTGCATATCCTCCTAATGCAAAAGCAGTGAAGCTACTTTTAGATCCTAAAATTGCTAAAAATAAAACCACATAAATTATTGATCCCTACCATAATGTTTTTCGCAGGGTAGTCTCACAAGTCTGGCTTTAACAAAACCCTAATACGATCATAAAAGGATAATTTTGTGCCAGCAGGACTTACAAAGTGGTAATAAAAAGAGAACTTGAGGATATTATAAAAGCTTTAGTCAATTAACAGCAACAAGAAGCTCTTTCCACAGCTTTTAATACAGCTGAATGTTCTCTGATAATACAAGTGTATCACTTTTGCTGTGGTTATAATGGAGGAGCTGCATCTCACTGGTTTGAAAACTGCTTCCAAAACAAGACATCACTTCAGTCTTGATCCCAGTCTGAATACTTCTGGCATGTTCAACTTAAAATAAACCTGTGCAGTAACATCAGAGTCTTTTTGAATACAACTGAAAATAACTCATTGTGGTGCAGCTGCATTGTTTTTTGACAAAATAAGTATTTCATTCTAAATCAGAGAAGCAGGTCAATCCCCGTAGAAAAATCACTGATATTTATTTTTCATCATATCTGGTAGCACCAACTACCGTATCTCCTATAAAAAATAAAGCAATTACTTTA